TATATATATGATAAAAAAAACTTGATAATGACATCGATTATTGTATTCATTTTAGGCAACGATCCAAGCTTGTACACAGATTTTAAATAAACTCGAGCCGATAAGAGAAAAAATGCAAAATCCGACATGGAAGGAGCTCGTTTTTAAAGCGTATGAAGAAGATGTTGATTTATGCGCACGTTACATGTAAATGTCATTATATCTTATTTAGCACATCAGTGATTTATTACAATGTCTTAAAGCACTTTAATATCTTTTCGAAAATACTGTACTTGCAGAAAGAAATATTTGTTTTATCTTTTGCTTGAAATAATTCTATATTGTAAAAAATGCAGTTTAAATATTCTATTTGCATTTCCTGCAATTAGTATCAAGCGTATTTATTATGTGTTTTCGGAGTGATTTCGATAAATAAGATTTGAACTTTATATTTATATAGTGGGAAAAAATATTCCTTGATGCTATATGCATAATTAATTATTATATAATACATAATTCCATTTACTTTGGTAGGTTGGTGACCGGACCAACGAAAGATACGATGAAGCCTTATCCCGTTTACGGTGTTACCATTGCCGAAGTAGAGATCGATGTCCTGACTGGTCAGCACGTTATCAGAAGGGTTGATTTGATGATCGATGCAGGTCGAAGCTTAAATCCGATGATTGACATAGGTCAGATAGAGGGAGCTTTCGTGATGGGAATAGGATACTGGACTTCTGAAGATTTGGTGTACGATGATAAAGGAGTATTAACAAATTACAGAAGTTGGGTACGTTATCTTCATCAAATTTCGATGCACTTAATATCGTCAAGACGCAATTACTTCGATTCACTGAATTTGTCATAAATATATATAATTAAAGCTGAAATATTTGATTATTTTCATAGAATTATAAGCCACCAGGAGCAAAGGATATTCCTGAAGATTTCCGCATATATTTATGCAAAAACTCGGTCAACGTAGATGGTATCTGCGGTTCAAAAAGTAAGATTAAAACTCTTTTATTCAAAATACTAAAAATTACATTTATTAAAAATTAAATCTAGAATATATTATTATATATTATACATATTTACATATAATTGATAAATTCGTAAAAATTCTTTTAGAAAAATTTTCAAATTCAGAATTTAATCGATTTACAAGTGCGCGTTTCACTAATTTATTTTATTTACATAAGATGAATGAAATAAGAAAAGATTCAATAAAAATAAACAAATCTCTGTTTAGGATATCATAATTAAAAATATTAAATCAGTAGAATTATACCATTGGTGTCCGAGTAATCCTTAATAATTAATAAAATCCGTAATAATCCAAAAATATTTTTGCAGCAATCGATGAAGCACCTCTTTGTATGAGTTTCGTAATTCCGCTAGCGATTCGCTACGCACTGGATTCTGCGAGAACACAGGCATGGAATACGGATAAGTGGTATGAGTTGGGTAAGTTACAACAAGAGTATTCATATGAGTATTCATATGATTCACAATCTTGATATTCAACATACAACACGAATCGACTAACTTTATGATTAATTTCTAGTTTTTGCAAGTATTTAATAGTTTAATCGCCGTTATATTTTAATGTGTGATGCTTATACCTATTTAGAAAAAAATTTTTTAATACTTTTATAATCCGATCTTTCTTTCCTTTTTTCTCTTTGAAATAAAAAAAATGAGGCAAAGAAAAGTTAAATTTTATAATCTCATGTCTCTTTTATCATTTTTAAAAACTATTATGTAAATAATACTCTGTTCACTATTCATAATATACATTAATCTTCGAGTAGGTATGTGGAGTATCTAAGTATCCCAAGCATTTTTCTTAAATATTTCATACTTTTAGATTGACAACAGAGCTCATCGATTTAATATCTTCCTATTAATGATAACTTGACAAATTAAAGTGGTAGGCTCATCGATATTGAAGCAATAAACAATAATAGAGCGTCAAACTTGCTGGGGGTGCTGTGAACACCCCACTTATTCACTTGTGTTTTCTTTTATACTTTTTTTTTTTTTGAGTTTTTATATAGTCAGGGGTTTTTTTCTGCTGTAATCGAGTTGTCTTGTTTATATTACTTTCCTTGTCTTATTTATATTAATTTTACATGTCTCTATTTTATTAAAACGTAACTAATGTAAAATTATAAAAAGTAAATAATCTTTTTTTTTTATTTTTGTTGTTATATTTCAATTCTATAAAACAAAATTAAATTTTATGTTTTTTTAATTCAATTATTGACTGTTTTACATATTTTTGTCATTAAAATATTTATTTGTATTTTTTATTTCGCTATTTATCCTATCTTAAACTCAATATTTTTTAATGACAATTTTGTCTGATTTATATTGTATTATGAGATACTATTTAATAATAGAATATTTATTTTAACCCTTTTTTAGATTTGAGTTCTGTTTTTTTAATAATAAATGTTGTTAAGAAATAAAACGGGAAAATCCATAACTAAAAACGCCGTTCTAAAAAAAAAACTAAAAAGTATTACCTGGAAGTTCGATTGTTTAACACAATCACCAATGAGATACTATTAGGTGACACAATCTAGAATGTTTAAATTAATAGTACTGGTACAATACTAATTTAGATGCATTTTTAAGAGTTTGAATTATATATATATATATATATATATATATATATATATATATATATATTTGTTT